GGCTAAAATTTAATGTAAAAAAAGGTATTGCGAAAAAATTACTCTTACGCTGATTGTATAGGCGTGTGGACACTAAATCGAATATAGTTTTCTTCAAATCATCTGGCCAAATATACCTACTCTGTATTATAACGGGCGATCAAAAATGAGTTGCTGTCGAGTCGCCTTTGGAAGTTCAAGTTGAATACAATTTCCCATTTAAACAAAAATTGCAAAGGCGACTCGACAGCATTTCATTTTTGATCGCATAGTGTTTACCAGCTCGGTAAGTCTGGCGGTAGAACATTGGGACAATGCCTTCACTCCCTGTGCAGGAATACCATCGCAGCCAATCGCTTTCTTATCCTTGAGATCATTAATTGCTATTTCTACCTCACACCTTATAATCTTAGGCCGTTTATTGTTCTCCTTACACTCCGACTCATTCCTCATCCTTAAATCGTCTTGCTGCACCCTATTCGACTCATGTACCTATAAGTAGTTCTCCAATTTATGTCGTTTTACCCCCGCTTCTCCCCCGGCGGTCCAATATGCAGCATCAACCTGTGTTTTAATAGAGTACGTTGTCGCCATCTACTCATTACACTTTCACCATTAGATAAAGCAGTAGTTCAAATGCAGTGTAATAGTTCTAATGCAGTGCAATAGTTCAAATTTTAATAATAGTTCCTATATCTTCTCATAGTAGCTACAATGATTCAAATAATATAACCTCACTTCCCAAGATTTATGAATTATTTAATCTTGTTCAACATAAATTTATCTATCTAGTATCTATACACTAATAAATAAATAGATTAGTAAAGGCTACATTAACTATACTATAATACTAAGATATTTGATGTTTTGATTGGAAGGTCTTTTGAAGATCCTTGAGCGAATCCCAAAATACGAGGGTCAGCCCTCCGTGAGGCCCTAATCTAATGTAGTGCGCCGTCATCCCCTTATAAAATCCGAAGACACCCTCCGTTTTCCATATATCTTTCGGAAACAGTCTGGTATATTTTTGTACAGTAGACCTGTACCGATCTCGTCAACGGCTAAAATTTAATGTAAAAAAAGGTATTGCGAAAAAATTACTCTTACGCTGATTGTATAGGCGTGTGGACACTAAATCGAATATAGTTTTCTTCAAATCATCTAGCCAAATATACCTACTCTGTATTATAACGGGCGATCAGAAATGAGTTGCTGCCGAGTTCCCTTTGGAAGTTGTTAAATGCGATTTCCCATGTACACAAAAATTTCAAAGGCGACTCGACAGCAACTCATGTTTGATCGCATAGTGTTTACCAGCTCGGTAAGTCTGGCGGGTAGAACATTGGGATACCTAATCCCTTCAGTCCCTGTGCAGGAATACCATCACAGCCAATCGCTTTCTTATCCTTGAGATCATTAATTGCTCTTTCTACTTAAACACCTTATAATCTCAGGCCGTTTATTGTTCTCCTTACACTCCGACTCATTCCTTATCCTTAAATCGTCTTGCTGCACCCTATTCGACTCGTGTATAAGTAGTTCTCCAATTTATCTCGTTTTACCCCCGCTTCTCCCCCGACGGTCCAGTATGCTGCATCAACCTGCGTTTTAATGGAGTACATTGTCGCCATCTACCCATTACACTTTTCACCATTAGATAAAGCAATAGTTCAAATGCAGTGCAATAGTTCAAATTTCAATAATAGTTCCTATATCTTCTCATAGTAGCTACAATGATTCAAATAATATAACCTCACTTCCCAAGATTTATTAGTTGTATAATCTTGTTCAACATAAATTTATCTATCTAGTATCTATCACTCATAAATAAATAGATTAGTAAGGGCTGCATTAACTATACTATAATACTAAGATATTTGATGTTTTGATTGGAAGGTCTTTTGAAGATCCTTGAGCGAATCCCAAAATACGAGGGTCAGCCCTCCGTGAGGCCCTAATCTCATGTAGTGCGCCGTCAGCCCCTTATAAAATCCGAAGACACCCTCCGTTTTCCATATCTTTCGGAAACAGTCTGGTATATTTTTGTACAGTAGACCTGTACCGATCTCGTCGACGGCTAAAATTTAATGTAAAAAAAGGTAATGCGAAAAAATTACTCTTACGCTGATTGTATAGGCGTGTGGTCACTAAATCGAATATAGTTTTCTTCAAATCATCTGGCCAAATATACCTCCTCTGTATTATAATGGGCGATCAAAAATGAGTTGCTGTCGAGTCGCCTTTGGAAGTTCAAGTTAAATACGATTTCCCATGTAAACAAAAATTTCAAAGGCGACTCGACAGCAACTCATTTTTGATCGCATAGTATTTACAAGCTCGGTAAGTCTGGCGGTAGAACATTGGGATAATGCCTTCAGTCCCTGTGCAGGAATACCATCACAGCCAATCGCTTTCTTATCCTTGAGATCATTAATTGCTCTTTCTACTTCACACCTTATAATCTCAGGCCATTTATTGTTCTCCTTACACTCCGACTCATTCCTCATCCTTAAATCGTCTTGCTGCACCCTATTCGACTCAGGTATAAGTAGTTCTCCAATTTATCTCGTTTTACCCCCGCTTCTCACCCGGCAGTCCACTATGCTCCATCAACCTGCGATTTAATCTCATGGAGTACGTTGTCGCCATCTACTCATTACACTTTTCACCATTAGATAAAGCAATAGTTCAAATGCAGTGCAATAGTTCAGTTCAAATGCAGTACAATAGTTCAAATGCAGTGCAATAGTTCAAATTTCAATAATAGTTCCTATATCTTCTCATAGTAGCTACAATGATTCAAATATTATAACCTCAATTCCCAAGATTTATTAATTATATAATCTTGTTCAACATACATTTATCTATCTAATAACTATACACTAATAAATAAATTAGATTAGTAAGGGCTACATTAACTGTACTATAATACTAAGATATTTGATGTTTTGATTGGAAGGTCTTTTGAAGATCCTTGAGCGAATCCCAAAATACGAGGGTCAGCGCTCCGTGAGGCCCTAATCTCATATAGTGCGCCGTCAGCCCCTTATAAAATCCGAAGACACCCTCCGTTTTCCATATCTTTCGGAAACAGTCTGGTATATTTTTGTACAGTAGACCTGTACCGATTTCGTCGACGGCTAAAATTTAATATAGAGAAAGGTATTGGGAAAAAATTACTCTTACGCTGATTGTATAGGCGTGTGGAAACTAAATCGAATGGTTGCATTGCGAGCGCTTGAAACACCCCTCCTACAATACTGGCAGAAAATGTCCGTAATGTGGGAGAATTATCGAAGATGTGGTAATCGTTTAATAAATCCTTGGTCATAGCGAACGATGTTAATTGTGCCGATGATCCTGCTACCGCTCTTAGCATGGTCGCACCTGCTCCTCTCCACAGTCCACGAATCTGTAAGTGCGTAAGTTACGAAAGGATAGCGTAGTTGAAGTACTTCACCCCATGTTCCGTGTATATTTCTTTAATTGCAGACAGAGTCCCTGTACGGCCATGCTGATAACCAACGGCGACCGATTTTGTGCTTTGAGATTGCATTTGTGTTTTAATGAGAAATAGGGGGCTACCAAAAAAAGCACCGGCGGCACCTGTAAGCGCACTCACGCAAAATCCTTTGTAAAACACCGTCTTCCCGTGCTCGTCAGTTACATATCCCCTCTTGTGCGCCCACTGGTAGCCTCCCAGTCGCACGCAATTTCGAATACCGTGCATCACAACAGCGGCCGGTAAACCTTTTTGCAATCCTAAAATTCCATCGTTTTTCACTACGACAATTGCTGCATGGAAAACGTTGCGATAGTGCACCGCGTGTTGTCCTCGCGCACGCAGCTCTCCCTGCAGTTGCATACGTGTCTTTAGGACATCTAAGGGATTTGTGAAAAATCCCGCACCTGAGGCCGCCAACGCGCCTATTACAAAGTCCATTTCAAATTTCCCGCCAAAATAGTCACGTGTGGAGCGCCGCGTGAATCTGAAATTCAAATTTGAATGCACAGTAATAAGGTATTGTTGTGTGTAATTACCCATACAGATTAATAGAGAAATTGAAAGGACACGTGCGCTCTACTAAATTTTCCTTGCATCATTTAGACCTGTGAAGAAATCTATCTACATGATGTAATCTTTAATGTAAAGCTTGTGGTATGATCTGTGATTAATTTATTGTAGTATTTTAATGTGAGATAGTAGCGATAAGGTCGTTTATTGTTACGTAATGCGATTTAGCGCGTGATAGTTGAAGCATGTTACAAAAAACGGTTTTTTTACCCCCATGAAATGTACCTAAACTAAAATTAAAAACATCTAATACTATGTTTCCCTAATTACATTTTTGCTTCTGTCGAGTGTCGAGGACCTATTTCTGCTTCTGTCAAAGCGGTTTTCGTGTACTACGCATACTTCGCGCAAGTTATCCTAAAACTGTACAGGCTGTCCCAAATTCAATTGTGCCATTGCCTGTGATCTCGGAAACCGTAAGGGATACGAGGTCCATTCAGGGGAGGAAATGTTGCGCTAGTTAGGGCCGAATCTAACGCTGCTTTGAAAGCGATAAGTATTCCAAAATTCGCTCATTTTAATTGATCTTTTTTGAATACATTTTTTCAAACAAATTATTAGAATTTTTTCTTACTTTTTGTTACTCTAATGGCAATACAAGGGAGGTAAATGTAAATGGTAAGAGTCCTGGAAACACCCTAAGCGCTTTCTTACGAAACAAGAGTCCGTAGCATGGGATCATAAAAGGTTCTGCACCGCCACCCAGAAAGACAAAGACGTAGTTTTTATGGGAAAACTATGGTCACAATTTTGTAGGATATCTAGGAACACTCACATAACAATTATTCTTAGGTATAGCGGTTTTAGAAAACGTTGGAATACGTGTGTGTTACGTTTGTACATTCCGAAAATAATCTAATCCTACACGACCACCCCGTATAGTACGACCTTCACACTCGACCACCTTCTGTCACCGCCTATGTTCACACCTGTGTCTATTTACCTGTCACCTCTTGACACATGCGCAAAAACGAAACCACCTGTAAACACCTTGACAGTTGTAAACGTAAAGATTTACACGTTTATTTTACCTGTATATATCAAGTTCATTGAACTATCCTTAAGTATGTAGATCTCTTCGTACAATTTCGTAGCACAGAAAAAGAATAAAATTGGAGGAGGCAATATTTATTGACGTTCCGGTTGCGGGAACATGCGGTAACAACAAAAATATGGTCTTCAGGTGAAAGCTTTTTACAGGTGAGTTAACTGTTTCCTATGTGGCAGTTAGAATAATAACCGTTAATTACTTGTTTATGTTTCATGTGTTTCCATTTTTAGTTTAAAAAAAATGCTCTCGAAACATGACTTTGAGTAAGGAACTAAATACGACCGGCAAAATGCACGAATTATTTATGCAGGTGTTAAAAAATCGGGACCTGTCCAAGGCTGGCGATTTATTTTCTGTGACGGACGGCGAAATTGTTAACGATTTAACTTTAGTGGTGAGTACCGCGGAACTTGATGATCTAATAGATCAAACAATACAATCTAATCAGAGGTTGACTCATTATGCAAACAAAGTATACAGGGTGTCTACTGACACTGTGCCGAACCTTACACAGGGTGACTCCTGGATGTACATAGTGACACAGCAATTAGAAATATTGTCATTTCAATTTTCAGCGTGAGCAATTCATTTCTGATCATAACAATAAAGAAACTCACTTTTTCTAATCTCTTTTAGCATGTATTGAAAATTTTAGGTATAGAGGCTGGTTCTAAATCGGGCCCATAGGTAGGAGTTTTATGTGTGCACCTAAAAAAATTGAGGAGACTCTTTCTTCTCCACCAACTGTGGTCTTAGAGATAGAGGGGAGATAAACGGGGGAAGAATTTCAGTTTTACAAGCAGAATTATGTACTGTTTTTTTAAATTTTGATTATTAGTCTTGGAGTTGGCCTTCTATCTTGTACTGTGACCCTATAGTACCATCGAGCTTTAGTCTCGCTCCCTCAGGATGTCAATATCTCAGTGGCAACAGTATATGCAAAATTTTTTTGACTCCTGGCAACTGCAAAGTCTACTCCGAGGTCTCTACTGTGGAAGTATCTTGTCACCTGTTAATAGACTCGTCTCCTACTAAACTTTTAATGTTCCTCCAGTGTTCTTCCGGTATATTTTTCAGAATGGATCTATGATCATCGTGTTTGCTAGTTTCCAGTTCACCCTGCTTGCCTTCTATAGGTGCTGGAATAAGTAGGTTTGAATTGTCCCTGTTTCTATTAGGTAAGTGTATAAGTTATTGCCTTTTTTTATTTTTTGAATTGTTCCAAGTAATAGATATGAAAACAATAATGATAGATGTGCATAGGTTTTCATGTATTGCCTACTACCACTTTTTTTTAAATGAGATTTTTATACTTGGTGCGGGTACTAGGGAGGGGACAAATTATATATAAATTGGCATGCGCCCACCTAGGTCCATTATTATCCTGAACCAAATACTCATTTATATGACCTATTTAATTGATTGAACTTAATTTTAGAGGATTTAATAATAATTATGTTTATTTCTGTAATTATGCAAAAGTTTCTCTAGGTTCAATTAAGAATCCTATTGAGTTAGGGGTCAAAATATCAAATGTCACCATATCAGACTCACCCCTTGACAAAATTGGCAGTAGGGATATACAATTTTGTAGGTCATATTGTGAGTAAAAACGAATTAATTACAGTCAATGGTATTTTTCTATTACTTCCGGTTTTGTCAGACGTGGTCCTACATTTTCAAATTTAAATGACACACCCTGTATATTTTTACATTTATGGATTTTTGTGTGTGCGCCGTGTATTTGTAATATACAATGAATAAAGAATACCAGGAAGGAGAATATCAACAATATACGTGCGACCGCGATGGCTTTTGCAAATGGCGGACAGTAGTTTCCTTTCCAGTGGCGTACCTACCTTACAGTTGTAGAAGGATACAATTATAAAAAATTTTCACGAAAACAATCTAAACCCCCATGTGTCTACTTCGCCTATGACTTTTGTTTAACTAACCTCAAACTACATTCCGATAAAAAATTTGTAAATTTACATGTACTATATAAAAATAATAGTGGTATCAATACTTAGACATGAAATGTAATTCCCAAACTTTTATTTTTTTCCGTTTTGGAGCAATCACAAGTACAACAACTAACCATTATTTTATGTCACTGCAAAAACCACAACAAAAATGAGTCATAAGTGGCTTTTGCAAATGGCCGCCTTCCGTCGCACTCTCTCTTGTATACAACCTGGTATTCTTTATTCATTGGTAAAATAAAAGTACTTAATACGGTGTGTACATTTGTACGGGCCATATAAAATAATAAAGATGATGTTTTCTCCAAAAGGAAACGTATTGAAAATCCCTCACAACGCTGTCTTGTAGAGCTAAAAAAGTGGAAATGAGAAAGTGTTTTTTATTTATTTTGAATCTTTTCAAGTAACACCAGAAAAAAATAAAAATGAAATCGACAAATTTCAGTTTTTCTGATGGCATATCTTCGGAAGTAATCTAAATTTTCTGGTTTTCTTTACAGCCTGATAATAACTGTAAATTGCGCATCATTTCTCTAATTTGACCATCGTATCTTCTATGGTTTTCAAGATTCTCATGATAGACGTCCTTGGACACAGTGTAATCATGAATTTCGATTCCACTGCAACCGCGGATGCCTCCTCCACATCCTAAAATTGAGAATAATACCGCTCCCAAAATGGACCCTTGTGGTACCCCCCAATTTACACGTATATGACTAAATGTACGGTCATTGACAAAAGTAATGTTCGCCTAATGGGTAAACTCTGCAGTATAAGCAGTCAACATCGTGCTCCGTGGGTTTCTCCGAGGAGGAGATTTTTGGTTTGCATTTCCAAGTTGCACAATATATTCAAAAGTTGATTGCGCACCTATGCTGCAGGGTATGTCTTTCTATTAGAACTTATTTTCCAAGGAAAAAATAACTTTAGTAGGCAAATGGTCTCAAAAGCCAATCATAGCTTTGAAAAATTTTACCAGAGGGGCCGCCTTGAGTTTTATAGCAAAAGAGAAGGGGAATGCTGGTATTGTCTGGTCTGGTAGGGTTCTTTTATATCCTCGTCTAGAGGATGAATACCAGGATCATCTGGGAATACAGCATCTCACAAGATTTACACGGAGTTTTGTCGATAAATGTCACAGACACACATTCAGTATCCCGCCGAAGATCAAATTCACCGTTTCGATTCTGGTCGGGAAAATATTGCGTTGCCAATACTTGCACACGTTGAATAAGTGTTAGTAAACACAAGGAAAACCTGCTAGTAATATAACAACCAACGAATTCTTGAAAAACCTTACAACTTTATTTCGAATGACTTTTTATTATTTTTCTTACATTTGCTTCATTGACATTCGCCTACTCATATCAAAATTATTAGCTGTGTTGCGACATATGTCACACTATACTGCATTCATTATAAGAAGGTAGTAGATGGCGCTGTGTTTGAAGATATGCACACACAGGAAAAATATAAAACGGCACCAAATTATTGTAAAGTACAAATATCCAGCACTGCAAACAGAAATAAATCTTTGACATTAACAGTTAATGACACTTCCAACAGTTTAGATGGCAACAGAAACTACCAGCTTGCAAAATTCGTCACTCGTTTTATGTTTCAGCGTAATACTGACGCGTGTTTTAACCAATCACACTGAAGGTCAAAGCTTCCTTATGCTTTCTACCGCTACCTTCTTAAAATGAATGCAGTATAGTCGAATTACTGTCCGATTCTCATTATTGCAACTGTTGATTTCAGTTGAATGAGATAACAACAATAGCATCACAACCCGATTATGCACACAATGACAACGATCAAAGTGTCGTCGAAATATGCGTGACACGAGTTACATCATGCATAAGAGAAACCGGTACAGTCGAGCAGCACTGCGAAGCTCTCGTCACGCTGCTAGAATCCTGCTTACATCACAATCTGCAACTGACCTCCAGAGATGAGGATCCTCCTCACGCAAAAATTTCAAGTGATATTATTTCGTGTATTTTTCTTGTGAGTATAAATGTCGATGTTGCGCTACCTTATTTAACCGATACAAGCAGAATTATGGTAAAAAATCTGTGATGCAACGTGCCTTATCGGTTGCGGTTAAGTTTTTACATAAGGGAAACAAAGAACTGTCGAGAAACATGGCCTCCTACCTATCGCTGGCAGCTATAGAGCACGCCTCGTTGCTTAGCCCGCATGTTCAACCCATTATGGACTCGATAATTTCGGGTGAGTTCGACAGTCGAGTCGACAAATTTTTAGTGGTGGTATTACAGGTAACTACCCGCTTTGTCGAGTTCTGGCTCAAATTTACGAGGTGTCACCGGAGCCGTTGCAGGGTCACGCGATGGCGCTCGTTTCGTTACTTCCCCATTGTGATAATCAAGAGAAATTGGCTTTATTACACTTATTTTCTTTAATAGCTAAGGACAATCCAACGGTAATTTAAAGTAATTATTTATATAAATTTCTATGTGACTTTTCTAAATTAAGTTATTAGAAGCGAGCGTCCCCCAATTATGCGAGTATCTAAATAGTTCGACGACGGCAGCTCCCACTTTGCAAGTCTTCCTGAACATGGCCCAAAAGAATCCCGCCCTTTTGGCGGATCACGTTGGTCCGTTGAAGTTGACCGCCCAGAGGTATCCGCACACCGTCTGCTTGGCCGCTCAAGTCATAAGCGCGGTGGGAAAACTGAGTAAGGTGGGTTACGGTTTGCGGTTCATTGCAGAGTGTAAGTTGGATATTCCAGGATCGTGCGCAGGATGCCTTGAATTTTGTGTTGGAGTACTTACCGAAGGCGGATAGGGGCTCTCAGGGTACGTTGTTGAGGGAGGCTACACTGCTGTGCAGTTCCTATCCGGTTCTGTTTACTGACAAAGTTTTGGCGGGAGTACGGCAGAGGCACCATACAAGGTCAGTCGGGAATCTTTCGATTTTGTGTGTATAAGTTTGATTTCAGTTCAAATCAAATTGGTCACACCCACGCAGTCAACCAAAACAATCACGTAACATCGGGAGGTGTAACAATTGTTAAAGTAGGAGGGAACACACAGCAAACCGCGCCGACATCACAAGGAGGGTATACTCGCAGAGCGAAATTGGGAAACTCCCGAAGTACAGGACGTCTCACTTCCAACAACAACCACCAAAGTATGACTAGAATGAAGATTGCCTTGACGCTTGTGATCATTGCGTTTCAGGTAGCTCAGTTGGGGGTTTGCACAAAAGCATGACAAGGCTCAGCTCGTCACAGCAGATCAACGTCCCAGTGTCGAATGCGCCTCCCGTCGCCGCACCGGTACCCCCACCCTTATCGAACAACGTCATGATCACCAATAACAAATGGGTCGTGCCAAACTCGCGAGTGTCAAGCGGTGGCGTTACGGTTACCACAATATCCCCGCCGAGAATTCACAGACCTCACAGCCAAGGACCGATGACGTTACTAACACCTGTCGGTACCAATCATAGCAGTCAAGTAAGTGGGTTTGGGTAACTTGCACCACAGAATACGGGCTTCTCAGAATAGAAACAGCAATGTTACAAATTTGTATGTAAAGTCACTAAATATAGAAAGTACCGCAATCCATTGGGCTCGTGTGTTAGAGAGAGAACGCATGATTTTTGCCCAAAAATGGCGGAAGTTACCAGATTCTAGTAACTTTAATGTTAGGGATTGTTCCACCTGTTTGGAGATATCTGTATATATTTTGATAAAACATGACAGTACTATGAAGTAAGGTTATAAAAAATGACAGCTATTCAGATTTTATTTGTCAATTTTTTTAAGTTGGCAGCAAATTTGCCCCAAAATGGCGGATGATTGCGGTACTTTCTATATCTAGTGACTTTATTTGTATGGTATTTTGGCGAAGCCTGGTGGGTGTACTGTGAACTAAAGCATCAAAATCAGAGTAGCGCCATCTGGTGACCAGCTTCTAAAGTCATGAAGTAATTTCCCAAATTCGATATAAATCATAAATATCGATAAAGAATACACAGTTGTTAAATTAAAGTGTATTTAGATACAATCACATTACATTATTTAACACATCAGAGAACTTAAATTACATGTTTACAAATTACATATAAAACTCAGAAGTGAGTGGAACTTACGGTTTGTAGATGTTAACACTTTGCAGAAGATCCTTACATAACGATTTGTCGTACGAAATGTTTGGTTTTAATTGCTGTTTGGACTACATATTTTTGTTAAAAAATATCTATACTGTATTCATTTTAAGAAGGTAGCGGTAGAAAGCATAGGGAAACTTTGACTTTCAGTGTGATTGGTTAAAACACGAGTCAGTATTACACTGAAACATAAAACGAGTAGCAAATTTTGCAAGCTGGTAGTTTCTGTTGCGAACTAAACTGTTGAAATGTCATTAGCTGTTAATGTCAAAGATTTATTTCTTTTTGCGGTGCTAGATATTTCTACTTTACAATAATTTGGAGCCGTTTTATATTTTTCCTGTGTGTGTTTATCTTCAAACACAGCGCCATCTACTACCTTCTTATAATGAATGAAGTATAGAACTAAATTTTTTATTCCAAGAGGTAATAAAACCGTTTCAGCAAATTGTCACACAAGTTTTTGACAACAAATGCCAACTTGATTCTGGTGCTTACTTGTTACTTGAGAAGCGAGGGTGGAAGTTGTTGAATTATCTAAAAGGTATAGAAAGTCTGCAAAACGACGCGATACATTCCGCGCCATAATTAATTATTAATTATTCCATTTTGACAGTTGACGCTTCACGTTATTTTAGTTTACACTTTGCTTTTTGTATTTGCTTTATTTTACGTTTTCCGTCTGTAGTTTTATACCAACTCATCTTTTTCAAGACGCTTGGATCTACGATCTAATAAGGTATGTAATTCCCTTAAAGTGTTTTTAAATTTTGCACCAGAATGTACGGTCTACATTTCTAGCGCCCTTGGACACGCCCTGTCAGGGACTTTCTGAGCGTGGTGCCACTGTATGTTTGACTTGTAGGATTTCAAATTCTGCGACCTAAGTTGGTACCATGTTATGTTGGTACTGCTAATTAGTAGCATCTTGCAAAAACTAAAATTCAACTGAAAATAGAAATTAACTCCCTCGTTTTTCTGTATAACTATGTATACCACGTGTTTAGTCTATTAACACTTACCAAAAAAACTTTTAATATAAAAGGCGTGATTGCGGTGAAATAGCATCGACATTTCTAAAAAAAACTCACTGAAATCTGGATAAACTTTCCGATCGAATTGACAGCACACAAATTAATTTTGTGACGGATAGGTATATGCCGATCCATGGTACAATGGTACAATAAAGGATCTCGCTCATTATACCAACACAACACAACACGTCGCCGGCCAGCGCTGGCCGACGACGATTCGGCTTGCGCTCATATAATGACGGCTAACGACACTTTTCAACGTTAAAAACAAACTACTGATGTAGTACAATTGAAAAAGTTTAGTATTGTGGTAAGCATGGAGTCTTCAGATTCGTCGGACGAAGAGTTGATGGTGGTTGTAAGTGCTCTAGAAGCAGAGGAGAATGAAAAAAAGCGAAAGAGGAAAATGTGGGTTCATCCTATTAATATGAAAAGATCAACACTGGGAGAATTTCATCACTTGTTCCAAGATTTACAGAGAGACGAGATAAAATTTTTCCAGTATTTTAGAATGTCTGCGCCAAAGTTCGCAGAGTCCACTAAATAATATTTTTTTTCAATGACTAAACTTAAACAGCTGATTACTTTTGCGCATGCTAAAGACATTCTTGACGGTTTACCTCCGCACACTTCACCAACACAACACAACACGCATCGACATTTGTCGGTCAGGGTTGTGCGATGAAGATCCGACCAACATCGGCCGACGCTGTGTCGTGTCGTGTTGGACAAGTGAGCGGATCCTTATTTAACCTAATGCATTTTATCTTCACCGACATTTGACGTGACGTGACGTGCTGTGTTGTGTTGTGTTGGTATAATGAGCGAGATCCTTAAGACAAGGTATGCCTATGCGTGACGTCATTGGGATAACTTGGCTCTACCGTTCAATAAAGTAATGGGGTTTGTGTAGTTCCACCAGTTAATAAAAGTGTATCCCCTTTACGGATGTGATAAGATTTGTTCAATCTATGTCAACTGGGTCAAGTTTCTCACATTAAACTTACAACGTATCAATTATTGCATGTTATCAATACAAATATTTAAAGTTACAACAAAATATGTAAGTAAAAAAAGTAATTAGCGTTTTCAAATAAGGACGAGACCTCTAGCGGCAATAAAAAAAACTTAAAAGGCTGATTAAATTTCTGAAATAAGTATATTAAGTGGTACGTTTAGCTTTTCTGTTGCCTTATATTTATATCTAAATGCATTCCGAGATGCATTCAGTATGATTACTCAACCAAATTAATTGAGTAATTGCAATGGCACTTCTAATTCAAGTATGAAGCGTATAGCATTTTCAAACTTGGCGGTGATTCTTGCGACGTCATTGGGATAAAAAGGTCATCTGCGTATAATAGTTATAGGCATACCTTGTCTTATTGTACTATGTGCCGATCGATGTAGCTGTTAAAACAATTGCTGCCGCACCGTCACACGCGCGATGTTTAAATAGTCGTTAAGGTTTCTCAAATTTTCCAATTTTCTGCGCGATTTTCTTAGTTTTTCTTGCCGTAAGAACCTTCTACACAGTATTAGAAAACTAAAAAAAAAAAGATGAATGAAATCGGTAAAGTCGTTCTAAAGTTATTGCGTGACCAGAAGAAACAGGGGTTCATTTTTATATATAGAGATAAAACTCAAGTCTACACCCTTCTGCAGGTATAGGCAGTATAGGTAAACTGTTGGTAATTTATAAATTCCATACCTTGCATAAATAGGGGAGAAATAACAGCACATTTCAACCCTCTTCGCGTTTCAAGCACAAAACAATCTGTTTCAAAATATGGGAAACGATGCCTTTTTGATATTTTATCGTTACAATCCGCCACACAACCCTTTTTACGGTCACGTAACTTGTTCTTAGTTTAAATCTTTCAAAAGTCAAAATTGGCATGTGTAAAACCATGTGTACGTACAAAATCGACGGTAAAAATATTTCCTGTAACGAGCAAAATTACAGGTTTTGCAAAAAAATATTTGAGTCTGCGATAAATAGTTCTCCGTACAACCACGGGAAACGCTGTAATCAGTGACAATTTAGCGCCATTTATGTTTCTGTTCTGTGAAGGTCTTGCACATCTGCCAAAATGACTAGTTGTCGGCATACAAATTTGCTTGGAGTTGGCGGGTCCGTTCAACACTATTTCTGTAAAATTACGTTTCGCGTATATCAGCCGAAAACGGGTTATTTTGGCAGGTCGAAGAACCACATCTACTTATCTTTCCAACACAGATAACCATAAATCCAATCCAATCGGGTTCTCAAGCATCAAGCATAGCAAACAATTCGGTCACCGTGAGTTCGGTATACAATGGCCCGATTTTGAGCGGTCAAGTTTCCGTGCTAACGAGTACCGTAATCGGTTCGAACAACGTCGTCACGCAAACTATCCCCGTCGGATCGGGGAGTGTCAATCAAGTTTCCGTGAATGATTCCATTGTTAATCACAATGGAAGCAGTCACGTTAATATCAGCGGTCCCAGTACTGTCACAACGAGGCGAGCGAATAATACAAGCGTGACAATCGTAAACGCGAACCAAGGGGCGGCCTCTCAAAGAATGAGCGTTTTCGAACCGTACCCGATGAGAGACACCGTGCAGCACTTCTGCGAAAAGCACTTGGATAAAATTAAGATCTACATGGATAAAGTGTCCTCGAAAATTCCCCCACCCGCCAAATGCACTATCGAAGAAAGGCGGCACAAAAAATCGGCGAAACTGCACTTCGCCTGTCAAGCTCGCGGCCAGCATTGTCTGTATTCGAAGACCTTCTTCACGATGCGAACGAGGAATCCGCGCATCTGGATACACCTGATGTTTATCGCGCTACAAGTTGGTTCGAGGGGTTGTTAACGTCAGTAATGCAAACTTTGTTTTAAGGCTCGATCGCCCCACGCCCTAAGCTCGAGGGACGCGAGCGTCACAAGCCTGAAGCACTGCTGGGACATGCTCAAGTGCGAAAATAAGACATTCTTGACTCTTGTAACGAGCGCGTTTCCGTGCTCCAAGGACCAAGAGATGCTGCTCAACGAGCTGAGGCATTCGGGATTCTTCGACGTTTTCCAATTGTGCCCCGGAAACATCGGGGGTTCGTCCAGTCACATCGAGAACGGCATTAAATTTCAGTGGGGCTGTTTTCTGTGCGCCCATCCGGAGAGGGCGGTGGGATTTTTAAGAGGTGATTGACTGCCAGCGATTATCATTGGAGCACGATAATCGTGAAATGTTTCAGGTGATACTCAACCTGTGATAGAGGGGCAGCTTAAAGAGAAGAAGGGGAAGTGGAAGCTCTTTCGGAGGTGGAGGACGAGGTATTTTACGTTGTCGGGCGCCCATTTATCATGTAAAGGATCTGTAAGTATTTTTTACAACCGTTACGCTTCTGAATTGGACAACTAAATTTTAATATTGACGCTATACAGGGCGTAACAATTAAGTATGTCAAAATCCGGGTTCTAACGTGGATGGGTTGGGTTGGTAGAGCAGCCTTGGCTGAAACCCCGCCCACATAAATAAATACCAAAATACTAAACACTGAACCTAACCCTTTGTACGAATAGAAAGAGACACACTAACACAAACACCAAGTAATCTTGATTCTCGATCTTTTTGGTGATGGATAAATCTATGTTAACGGGCATTTTGAAAACCATGTAGGGCGGCTTCACGTGTGATAAACACTCATCTAAATACATACGCATAAATTCTACAGTAGCGGTTACAGCGCCACCAAGGGATGCAACCCTGCCCTTAGTCGGGATAGGCGGTAGGAACGGTTTCGAAGTTTTGCAACAAAACTGTTTGTACCCCCACGAACCGGGATAGTCGAGGTGTAGATTGCGTCCCCAAGGACCTGGTATTTTTCTCTCGTGACGCTATAGGTTCCTGCGTGGGTCCCACCTTCTCTATGTCCTATCCCTTCTACCCATCCAAAACGCAGCGATAACAAACTTCTTATCGCATGACCGGATTTAAAATGAGATAAACTCGCAAGTATTTCCAAATGTCCTTAATTTTTTAAACGTAATTTTACTGAACAATAAAGCAAACAAAATACAAGACGATTGTTGAAACAAAATTAAACATCTAATAACTCTTGATACAAAATTCAAATACTATGATCGAATTTGTGTTCAATCGAAATTAGCGACCACATTTAATCTTAAAAAAAAATTGAAATTCACATTATACAGGATGACCCATCGATATTATAAGTGTTGATATCAATAAAAACGTCAGCATAATGTCATTTACACAACAATAAACGAAAAGGGGTGGTAGTGAGGAGCACAATTTTTTTCAATTAAACAATGTCGAACATGAATCGTTTGGGATTCGCCAATAATTCCATAAATTGTGTTTCTTCTTGAATTTTTTCGTAAGAACGATCCATTTTAGATCCTGTACAATGTACATTCAATGGAATATTTTAAAAACAAACTTTTGTCCGCGTTTTTTAGAAGCGTGTATCGTTAAAAACCCATTTTTTATGTAGTTTATATGCAGCAAGTCAAAAATGGATCTAACTTTGTTTTAGAGCGGGGGTGAAAGCATCGACGTAAATCAAATAAGATCCGTAAAGGTATCCCGTGGCGCCCGAAACATACCGAAGGCCTTCGAAATCTTTACGGGCAACCAGTCGTTGATCCTAAAACCGAAGGACGGTAAAAACGCCGAAGAATGGGTACAATGTCTAAGTATCGTCGTCGCCCACTCGCACGCCAAGGAATTGCCGGCCAAAAGTAATTCTCTTCCAGCTAGGGGCACTAGTCGTACAGCGATGTAATACTTTTTTTTTAACGAAGAGATTGTGATCAAATTTTACTTAATCTACATTTATTTATTCAATCTGTCTCGTATTTCTTTCATTCGTCAGCATTACTTATAATTAATTAGCAATCCATCCCCAAGTTTACATTCCATATTGCAATTGATTTATTTACCGTTTCTTATTTTGGGCTGGACACCAACAGTCTGGTAATATTATCTGCTAAATGACTTTCTGTGTGCTTTGTTTTCATGAAAAGTAACGGTCAAATAAAGTAACATGAAAAACTGACCTTTAATTTTCATGCAAACAAATATATTCCCATCAAATAAGTTTTACTGACTAAAGAAAAACCGGACCTAAATCTACTTATTTTGTAGCACACTGTTTGATTTATAGAGGCTATACCTTTGGACCAAAAGATTTTCCTTTTCTCGTTACCTGGATGTGATATAAAATGATTATTCCGCTACTCGAACAAGTATAAATGTGACACAATCCCAGTTTAAACATCACATTTAATTTATCGTTTTTTTTTATGATGAAAGACAACTACAATGTTATAATGTACTTATATACTTAAATAGCGTATTGATCAAAATTTTTTATTTTTGAAATCTTTTAAAGGACATATGTATTTTTATGAATATTTATATTATCTGTTTATTCTAAAACATTCCAATGCTTGTATGTGCATATTTTATTATTGTTACGAAATAAATATTGGTTTGTATAGCTGGTTTATGTTTTGCAGGTTTAACGTATGAAAAAAAAGCAATGGCGCCACAAATATCCTTTTCCTTTAATGTGCGTTACCTTTGATTGGCGTTCAGTAGAATGCCACCAAAATCCTCTCCCTTACCGATATGTGCCTTATACCAGTTGATAAGTTATATCAATGTGTAACATTCTTTTCTTAACAATTTAAAATTCCATAATACCTTGCTGTGTGCAATGGCCCGATCAAAGTGAACCATAAACTCTCTACTCCCAGAACAACTCCGAATCCCGGCACAACAACAAATTTTACTTCAAATTCCAGATTCTAAAGCAGCCGATGGCGAAGATCAAATTCCAAAGCGATCATAAACACACCTGAGGTAAACTGTGGGTATGAATCAACAAAATTTATTATAATTAAGCATGAGACGGTAAAGGGTTTGAATAAACACACGATTTGCATGATTTCACACAAACAAAATTACAGTTTTCGGTTACAAATCCCAATTAAAAAAAATCCCGGCACCCAGAAACACTAATTTCGAAAGAAGATAACGTAACGCACTAACTTGTTCTTAAATTTTCTTTCAAATATGTTGCAGAAACGTTGGTTTTTTCAAATTTGAATTAACTGACTAAACATATATACGATCGATGAATCGAATGGCTATCCCGTTTACACAAGAGGACAACTTCAATGAAAGCTGCTACCCCAAACTATTACGTAGGTACTGAATTCTATTTGACAAACAACAAGGCCATACTTTAACGCAGAAACGCGCGTCTTCTAAACTTCAAAGGACTGCAACTCGGTTTCGAAATAGGCAAAAGGTCCCCTTTCAATGCTAATTCTTAAAACCTGTCTTCTTGTGTACTGTCCCTGATGTAGTTTCTGAGATCACCATGATAGACACCCGGCTTATCTTGGATACAGTGTACAAAAACAATTTATGGTTCCGGTAGATTTAGAACCATAGTAATTTCTTTAGATCGCATTTATACTGTGATAATCCACCCTGATGGGCTTACATCTGAAACAAAAATATAATGTGCTCTGTATATAACCAATCGACCGTTTTGCGCAGATGCTAGGGGATTTTCGTAACGAAGCTAAGCTAGAGGAATGAAGAAGATGGCGACGAGTTCGATGGAAGGCACACGCTTTCCCGGTTTTTTTTTATTCTTGATTATTTTTGGTGGTGGTGTTTTGAAGGTGTATTTACAGGTAGGTAGTAACCATTTTATTCTTTCTTGTACTAGCTATTTAATCATTGAATTTCTTGCCGCAATTTGATATTATTTACATTTTGCTGATTTTGCATAAACTACGATATCTGAATCATGGCGTACTCCATGCCTTTCTTTAAGTACCGTTAAATGAATCATGTTTGTTTATTAATTGTTATACTGTACAGCCATTGTTTTGTTTAATTAAGTATTTATTTCTGTATTCATGAGGACTTGATTATCAGTGCGATGTTGCTCTGTGTCCGATTGATCCGTACCTATTCCGTGAGGCTGTACGATGTTTCCATGTTGTGTGTGCGAGTGGGTCATTCTGTCTCCGTGTGTAGGTACCTAATACAGTTCCTCGAATTAACATTTCCTCTATTTAAAATATGATCTGCTTGAGCGATAATCGATTTTCACATGAATACTTGCTATTGGCATTCTCACATGTAGGTACCTACTTTTCGTGTTAAATTAAATTATGTTAACGTTTCCTGTGTACATGCAATCTATTATTGTACGAGTTGTGTTATCTCAATTGATCGTACAGGTATTTTGATGTGTTTTTGTACTGAATTGAGTTATCATGTTTTCCACTGCCTTTGTCAGGGTTTTAGTCCCGTAGAAGGTTTCCCTGGCATGGTCTTGTGTGTGCGTAATATATTTATTTGTTCTGGTCATTTCTTACGCACAAAAGTTCTGTCTTTTGTTTAATTCCCTTCCCGATTATGTCTCACGTCTTAACACATAAAAGAACCGATTACACAACGTAGGAGTCCATTCGTGCCACCCATATCGAGCCGACTGCTATCCAAATTTAAAAGTGCCGCGAAACGTCCATTGTTTCGACCAGAAAGGTAGGTGGCTCTGCCAGAGTTGCCCACGTTAAGTATAGGGTAAGTCAACGTTTTTAGTGTTGGCTTGATAGACCCCTAGGAACATTACAATACCTAAGCAAAAAACCGATTTCAATCCTGACAATTCAAGTCGTTTTGCATCCACAATAACTTCAAGTCTGGCTGCCATAATAATTAATTTGAATATATTTGCTTTACCTTCCACATATTTTCGGTCGTGTGTGTGATGTATTGAACTGCAGAGAAGGTTGATATTGTCAGTTGGTATAGTACCTACCGGTAACAGTTTCAGTACCTAGCGTATGAAGCCAAAGGAACAATATTTAAATTAATTAATATGATCTTGATTTATTTTAAAAAGTTGGATTGGATGCATAAAATTAGGCGCTCTTCAGACGAGATTTTGTCATTTAAAAGTAGACATAAGCAAAAACAATACACGTAAATCCGTATGACCACTTATTCTTACTAATAAGTAGCATTGTAGGTATATTTAGACATGTGCATCTGTTCTTATCTATATATTGTAGTTATGCAATGTAATATTATTCCTAAACGCAAATCATTTGCGAATGAGTCGTCAGTGAATGCGGTTGTAGGTACCTACGTGCTCCGTTTGTATGAAACGTGTTTTTTACGTGGAAAGGGTGAGTTTTGTATATCTTTATTTCATTAACGCAATTAGATATACTACAGGGTGGCAAGTTGAGAGGTTTTCACCCCTTAACTTCCAAATAACTAAATCCATAAACCCTCGGACACGTAAACGTTAGTTTTTGGTGGGAGTGAGGCGTACTTTTATGAATTTTGAAAGGAAATTAAACTGACTTACTTATTCCTATTGAAATACTTTATCAAAAATTAGATATAAATGAATTTCAAATTTGTGCTCAGATTTCCACATTGACGGCGTTCAATTCTCTCCTTGAACCAAAATTGTGACTGGACCTTGCTTGTAATTTTCATAATTTTGGCAAAACAATTTTTGTTGCTATTATATTTAATTTTTTTTTGTTTTACACTACACTTATTGTTACAGTATCTGGCAATTTTAAATTTGAACAGTTCCCGCTTATATGCATTTCATTTATGGAAAAAACGGAAGTTACGCCAATGAAATTGTTCACCGCGCTTTTTTTAACGATTCAAATTGCACAAGGACGTCTTAAGTGACTGCTTTCATATTATTTAGATATATAATTGCGCGTCGTGCTTTTCGAGCTGGCGATTTATTAGTCGACGCGGCATGATTATTTGTAGTTGTAGCTGGTTCAGAGTGCGTGCCTTTATTCAAGACACTTAGGTAAAGTTTACTTTTACTTCTCTTTGTAAATTTATCGTGAAATACTTAAGTAGGATGCAGGGCATTTGTTTTATATAATTTGCTGCAGTACGTACTTGATTGATTTTCCAAGGCCTGCGCAATGTTTAATGTTTTCGGGTGGGTTAACAATTAACTAAAGGCCTTTGCTAGGGGTAACTTGATTTAGCTGAGATACACGACCCATAAAATGCTTTCTCATGTTGTACACTGGGTATATGTTGCTTGAGGATTGAGGTCCATTTATGTTAGGGTATTTCTTAGATTTCAATGAGGGGTGGCCCACAAGCGTAAGATTACAGTACCTATACGGGGTGTTGATATAATTTGGAGTAGGTAGTAGATGTCGAGTGGAACTTTTTCTATGTTGTAGCATTTTACATTTAACTTACCGAAATGCGATATTTAATCCAATTACGATTCGGTTTTTGATTTGTGCGACGTATCGGTGATTTCGGTTTGTTCTATATAATTGGGGGAAGGGGGGTTACTTAGTTATTAGATTTAGGCCGGTTCTTTCTTTCTTGTAAATCTCTAAATTGTGGCCCTGAAAAGGGCCATTTATTTGTGTTCGAGAGACGAGAGACGTCTCCTCGTTGCGAAATTATATGTTGATAATGTATTGTAATGATGCAGGAAAAACACAGAGGCTCCTATAATTAATATAAACTCGCACGGAACGCCGTCGTCGTCTTATTTTTTTTTTTTCTCTTGTCCCTCTCTTCTATTTTTCGCTTTCATTATCTACAATTTCTTCTTCACTTCCTTCTTGAGCTCTAATTTATTGTAGTGTAACTTCCCCTCAACAATTTCTTCTTTCACTCTTGCATTTGTTCAACTTGTTTCAGCATTTGCCTTTGTAATATAGTATCTTATTCTTATTCACGTTTAATAATAATAGTAATAATAATCATTTATTGATCAACAAAATATTTTCCAATAACAGGACAATGTACTTGTGTACTAAATAAATCCAGTGTACATATATGAAATTAAAAGTGTACTGTAAATACTCAAAAAGGGAACTTAAAATTAAACACAATAGAGAATCACAAAGAATAAGTTAAACAGATATAAAAAATCAAACAAATGCATTTCATGCACATAAAACAATTAAATTATATTCGGTGCCCATAGTCGGTATGTAGCCATTTACCCTCCCATACTAATGATGTCGGTGGTCGCTATCCATACACAACAAAACTGAGCCAGGATTCCAACCGAAATATTCTTCGAATTGAATAACTATGCAGCAACCCACTTTCAGCAAAAATCCAAAATTCATTCAGGTAGGATTACTGAACACGGCCTATATGTTTATTAATTTGGTAGGATTACAGATATGAGCACTTATCTTCAATATCAAATTCGGAAGTGTCGTCCAACTGACCAGCCGAGCAATCATGAATATAATATACCTACCTACTATGTCCAAATATGGATGAACTGGTGAGTTATCATGGTTCCTATTACATCACTTTAAATAAAAGCAAAACTAACATCAGGTTTAAAATTTGGTTTTGCACATGCTCCATACCCAGGAGCTCGTTTTCTATATTTGTTTAGTTTATTACTCTATGATCTATTACCTCTCCATCCGCATGGTCTTTTTTAACGTTATTTCTGTTCACAGGTAACGGCCATATTTGGAGATTATCCGGCGTGAAGAGAATTCAAATGAAGTGGTTGCCGTCCATCCAGAATTGCTGATGACTGACACAGTGCTGATCACCATATAGAATTTGGTACCATTTTACGAAGGATGTTCCAAGTTTTCTGGTGAGTGAGTCGTAATTTGAATTGTTCATCAAGCTTTAAATATGTAGCTTGATTCTGTCGTGTTAAAACTTACATAAAACTACATATGACTAAACTTGAAAAGTTAGTACACATAATTGAATATTTAAATATTTTTTATCGTCTAAACGGTGGACTCCAGTCATGTAGGGGACAAATAAGACCTTTGCCCTACTAAAGGTGGGGTAGTAGTAATTTTTTAACATGCTCTTGAGGTCGAGTCGCCATCTTGGACGAAAATCAGTTTTTTCAAAATAACTCCGCAAAGGTACAAAAAAAAGTTCTAATAAAATGTGAAGAATTATGAAGAAATATGTGTAAAAATAATAAAAAAAACCTTTCCTTTTTACCAAAAATCGACTACAACATCTTTTATTTAATAATTTATTTGTATATTTATTTATTGATTATCCCTCGGGCTGTACCTTTTGTAACTCTCCAAACTATCCGGTTTTATGGTTCAGTGGTAAAGCGTTGGACTATAAATTCGGAGGTAGGGTGTTCGAACACCTGGGTTGAGGTGAATTTTTCATCTGTGACAAAGATGGGAATTGTTTGAAATTATGGATTCTACAGGCCATATTCTATAAGGAAAGGTTTTTTTCCGGTCGATTTGAGACAATTTTTTTTTCGGGCCTCAAAAAAGGTCATCTCTTTGGTAATCCCTATACTTTTCCAAATTAATTTCTTATAATAGTTGAACCAGTTCCAATGAGATGTCGCCACGTACGTAACTACCTTCTCAAGAACATTTTAATTTATGCACTTAATAGCCACGTCCGACTCAATTTTCCTTAAAAGGCAGTTGAAAATGTGCACTTTCATGTAGGATTTGTAGAGCAATTGTCCTTCAATGATCCAGTATCTGGAGTTGTCTTTTGTGTATGCAATTGGTACATTTGCGCCATCTATTTGGTAATCCCTACACTTTTACAATTTAAATTCTTGTAATAGTTGAACCACTTCCAATGAGATGTCGCAACGTACGTAACTACTTTCATAAGTACCTTTTAATTTACGCACTTAATAGCCACGCCCGACTCAATTTTCCTTAAAGGGCAGTTGAAAATGTGCACTTTCATGTAGGATTTGTAGAGCAATTGTACTTCAATGATCCAGTATCTGGAGTTGTCTTTTGTGTATGCAATTGGTTCATTTGCGCCATCTCTTTGGTAATCCCTATACTTTTCCAAATTAATTTCTTGTAATAGTTGAACCACTTCCAATGAGATGTCGCAACATACGTAACTACATTCATAAGTACATTTTAATTTACGCACTTAATAGCCACGCCCGACTCAATTTTCCTTAAAGGGCAGTTGAAAATGTGCACTTTCATGTAGGATTTGTAGAGCAATTGTACTTCAATGATCCAGTATCTGGAGTTGTCTTTTGTGTATGCAATTGGTACATTTGCGCCATCTATTTGGTAATCCCTACACTTTTTCAAATTAAATTCTTGTAATAGTTGAACCACTTCCAATGAGATGTCGCAACGTACGTAACTACATTCATAAGTACATTTTAATTTACGCACTTAATAGCCACGCCCGA